TTAATTCTTTGGCAGATTTATCATCATTACCGCTATTTACGGCAGTATTGTTTTCTGATAATGCAAATAAGAAGTTTTTGATTCCTTCTCGGATTGGATTTAACATATCTTCTCTCAAAAGACGAAATTGGGTATCAAGCAATTTTTCTGCGCCGTCAGGCAAGAAATGAGGAGTATCGGGAAGCACGGAAGGTAAGAATGGATATCGATCACATAAAATTTCGCCTTCCGTGGGAATTATTGACATTTCAGAAATATCTTTGAAATCATTATCATGTCTTCTCCCATTTTTTGATAAATCACCAGGAGGATCATAAGATCGTTCCATATAAGCTCTTTTAGCCAATTCTTTGTAACGCGAGTTAATCAATTCCGAATCTCTCGATTTTTTTGAAGTACTTTGATCAAATTCTATGGTAATTCGTTCATTATTTAAAATAAGATTAATTTTTTTAATCTCTTTATCTAATATCTGGAAAAAATATTTTCTTGTTTCTTCATTATGAATTAAGGGGTCTGCTGAGTTGGAATAAAGTCCTTGTTGAAGCCTTTGCTGATAATTGACTAATAATTGTTGTAATGCTTTAGATAATCTATGCATCATTTCGTTCAAAGTGGCTTCTCTAATGCGACATAATAATTCTGTAAATAAACGTGCAATGATCAAGAAATATATTCCCAACCTAATTAAAAAGAAAAAGAAATTAATCGATGTGTAAAAGTAAAAGTGCAATATTATTTTTTTTTTAAGAAAATAAAAATACTAACGAAGATGGAACAAATGTATATCTTTGACGCATCAATAACGCATCCACAGTAATAGAATTATCTATTATAGAATCACGTTGAACCAATTCCTTCAACATAATTATCACATTATAAAGAAATGAATCCTGATAAAAGATTTATTTTAATTTTAAATTATTTTTTTAATAAAAATAAAATAAAATACAAATAATATTTATATACTTACAATATTATTATAGACAGCCGAGAAAATAGCATGAACATATTTCTCCAAAATACTTTCAGTAATAGCAGTTCTAGTCAGTAACCCCATCAAAGGTAATACGACATGTTGAAAAGATAACACATTTTTTTGAAGTCCCGCATCACATGACATTGATGGAAAATTAATTATTTCTCTTAATTTTTTAAGGCCTTTTTCTGGATTTCCTAACTCAGTAACCAATTCTTCAACTTCATGTCCAGATTTTTTATCTGTAACTACTAATGCTGAACTAATTAATATTTTAATATCATTTTGATCTAATGAGTCTTCTTTTTTCAATATCTCTTTCCATATGGTTTTAATATTATCTCCATTTGTAATGAAAATTAATTTATCACTTCCTTTATATGATAATTCAGAAGAACTGAAA